TCCTGAGGTTCTGGCTCGTCGTGAGTGGTTCCCAGGTCAGCCTCCACGTCTGTAGCCGACGTGGGCGTACCTTTGGGACCAGGTTAGGGTTCCGCACGTGAGGTTACAGCAGGCGTACATTGAGTTCACGAACGAGCTAGACACGCTCACGGCGTCTAGTGTAAGTAAATTTTATTTCTCATGCTGGTTTGAAATGGTTTAGTATAGCATCTAACATCTTGTTTGGACATGTTGCAGGTGTCGTGGGAGCCATATGATGGAGAGGGGGCACTTCCTTTTCAGTTGAGCAACATGTGTGGGTGCGACGATGACTTCTATAGGACGAGGTGCCCTCTAATCTATTTCTATGCTGTCGAGTTCCACCTGCCAGATAGAGTTGCACGCCAATTTGGAGTGAGACAGCTTTGGCCAACGGCTCTGTTCTCGACTAGCGTTGACTTACACCAATAAGTGTTTTGCTATTTCAATTGTCTCATGATGGTCCATTTCTATTAATATGGTGACATGTACATGGATTTAAGTTATGATGACATATGTGCAGGTTGGGTCGTCAGAAGAACAGAAAGATTTTTGACTAGAAGCACCACCAGTACTACATTGAGCAATGGGAGCTATTGCATGATAATGTGGACGAGAACAACGAGCCACACATGAACTATGAGTTCAGGTGCTACCAAGCTTGGTGCCAACGTGTGACACGTTGTAGGCTGTGGCTACAATGGACAGAAGATGACTACGCCGACATTGAGTCCTTCGATGATGAAGACACGGCGTATGACCAATCTACTCATGCAGGAAGGTAGGTGGAGGTAGGACCAATCTTGGACAGAATGGTAAGTCAATTGCCTTATTTTTCTATGTTAAGTTGCATACCCAATACATTATGCGTTAGAGGTATCTATTTTAGTTAGTGGTACCTTCGAGCCATAGCATCCTTATAATTAATTCAATCATGCAACATAATCATGCCTTTAGAAGAGGACTAGATGGAGTTTGATGCATGACCAAATGGATATTGTAATGACCTATAGGTGATGGTACAAATTCGGATGGGTTTAGTCCTATTAGTTGTTTAGTGAATTTTTCTTATACAAAAGAAAACAAAACATGTTGCTATCTGTTGAGAAGTATTATTATTGAGAACTTTGTTGTAGGGCAATACTTTCAAATGCTCCATTGAAGACATTGAGTGCTTTCGTCTAAGAGTCAGGGACGACGACACGCGTAGCTTCCTAGACGTAAGATTCAAAATATTCTTTCAAACATATTATTAATACATTAGATTCTTTCAGTTAACATAATTTTGTACAACAGAGGCTGTCACGTCGGCTACGCCGTGCGGCTGCTCGTTGTGGTTGTAGGACAGCCATGACGCAAGACGTGTATGTTCCTTCCGCAGGCAGAGGAGGCTTAGGTTCCTCTAGCCAAGCACCTACAGGGGACGAGGACAACAATGACATGGACCAGAGGCATGAGGAGCTTGGCCCGTCTCAGCTCCAGGACGCTCCCTCGACTCAGCCTACACAACCTTCAGGTACTAGGCGACGCCGTCCACCTAACCCTTACACTCCAGGTACCAGTGCTCTTGGTCACAAGGGTAAGGGTAAGACTAGGAGGCAGTGAGGGTTTGTGGTAGATGTTAGTATGTACTATTTTGGATTTTGTAGTTACTTTCCTATAACTATTTAGGACTGTATGGACATTGTGGACTATTTGGACTATGCACGACATGTTATGTTGATTGTGATATTCGATATGATTGTATTGTGCTCTTTGGACGATTAAATGTTTGGATTATATAATGATGTCTCTGTCTGTAACTGTGGATGCTCTTGAAACAAGGAAAACTCTTGCGAATTTTTTTCGTGAATCATTAATTATACTACACTGCTAAAAAGGCACAAATATAGTACATAGATTAAATGTAAATTCATTAGAACGTGTATAGTTCAATCATATCGTACAGATGCTTTGTAGATGAATCTAGGCTTTTCAGTAATAGTGAACGAATCTACGCTTTTTAGACAATGAAAATAGACTTTTCAGTTACAAGGACGAGGAATACGATGACAGCAGCGATTTATCACTTCACTTACATAGTACACCTATAGCATCTAGGATTTTCAGTAACAGTGAACGAATCTAGACTTTTTAGACAATGAAAATAGACTTTTCAGTTACAAGGATGAGGAGTACGATGACAACAGCGATTTATCACTTCACCTACATAGCACACCTATAGCATCTAGGCTTTTCAGTGATTTATCATGTCAATGACGAATAGATTTTTAGGAAATGAATCTAGGCTTTTCAGTGTTTATTGAAATAGGCTCTTCAGTGAAACTAATTAGGCTTTTTGTGACCAGTTATAACACATTAAAACGGCAACTAAAGCTGCCTCTACCTATATATACCCAATGTTGGATGCATTGCTACTTACTTTCTATCAGGGACCAAATACTAGAGTACCCAAAGAGGAGGAGCTAATAACCATTAAACGTTGATGTTTTCGAACAGACAAGAACGCGACTACACCTCTTGCCTAATGACCGAGGGTTAACTCCGTCTCGTCCGACCCCCATAGGTTGGCTCCGCCTCGCTCGACCCTCGAGGGCTGGCTCCACCTCGCCCGACATCTGAGGGTGGACTCTGCCTCGCCTGACCCCCGGGGGCTGGTTCCTCCTCGCCCAACGTCTGAGGGGGCAGACCACCGCCTGACCCCAATGTAATGGCTCACCTCCTGACATCCGAGGGCAGACTCCGCCTCGCCTAACCCCTGTGGGCTAGCTCCGCCTGACGGCCGAGGGGGCTCACCGCCCCGACCTCGCCCTCGGCTCACGCCGACGCCCCTGGGGGGCAGACTTCACCTCGCCCGATGTCTGAGGGCAGACTCCGCCTTGCCCGACCCCTGGGGGCTAGCTCTGACTCGCCCAATGTCTGAGGGTAGACTCCACCTCGCTTGACCCCCGGGGGCTGGCTCCACCTCGCCCGACGTCTGAGGGCAGACTCCACCTCGCCCGACCCCCGAGGGTGGGCAGACTCCACCTTGCCCGACGTCTAAAGGCAAAATCCGCCTCGCCCGACCCTCGGGGGCTGGCTCCGCCTTGCCTAACGTCTAAGGCAGACTCCGCCTCACCCGACGTCTGAGGGCGGACTCCACCTCGTCTGACAACTACGCACTGCTCCTTCAAAACTACATGTGTAGATAAGATGGTGGACTCAAGTCAACTGCAATACCAAGGACCATACCCTGCACGCCTGTAGGAAAGTACCGTCATGATATGATAAGATGGGCGCTTTAAGCCCTTCCAAGCATGTCGGAAGCCTGAACGGTGTTGTGGGCATCGACATTTGTCTTACAATGTTATGGACGTCATTATTTGCCCTCAGGCATAGATCTTGACGGAAGCATACGACAACCACTATGGTCTAGAAGGAAACTCACATCATCTACAGTAATGGACGTGGGTCACTTACGCTATCTGCTCTCCATAGGGTTACAGTTCAGCACCCTAGTCCGTCACGCCACCCGCTGAGGTAGGATGGGACGTGACCACTTGCTGACAAAGCTAGAGCATAGCCCTATCAGGATCAGCGGACATGCACCCAGCATGGAGCTGTCCCTAGCACCGTCTACCGTGTCTGCGGGGCTCGCTCAGAGGTAAAAGAAGACCCGGCATCTTTGAAGGACTCTGGTTTTTCTTTCTTTCTCCCATCTATAATCCCTGCTTCCACTTGGTCTATAAAAGGAGAGGCAGGACACCCCACTACGGGGATCGATCAATTCAACACACCACACATCTCATCACACATAGCTGAGTAGCAACCAAGCTTTTGGTATCCATTCGGCCTTTCCATCAGAGACTTGGGACATGTCCCTCTCTCGCCCATTTATAACCCCTACTGCAAACTTTTTAGTGCTAATAACACGAGCAGCAACCACAAACTGGACGTAGGGACATTCTGCCCGAACTAGTATAAACCTTGTGTCTTTTAGCACACCATCCGGGTCCAACGCGTAATAATATAAATTTACTCGTTGGTGTTTACTCGAAACACCGACACTTCCCAACTAGTATTTTCTTTTGTTGCAGTACCAATGTCTGGAGGGTCGTCCAGAGGGAGAGGAAAGGAAAAGGAAACTACCATTGTGTGGGAGGGTTCTCTTGGTCCCGATTTTTTTGAGGAAGCTCTTTATGAGAGGTTCCCAGTTGAGAGCAAAAGTGATTTTACCAAAGAGGCACCACTAAGAGGATATAATGAACGGAAAGAAGAGTGGCCAAAATGCATGCATGGTGAGGACTGCCTATGTGTAGATGTTCACCGAGGGAATAGATAGAGGTCGTCGTTTCTTCAAATGCCCACGAGCATAAGTAATTGCTATTACTATTTGTCTCTTCAATATGTTTATCTTCTATACAACTTATATGACATACTTATTGCAGTCTTTCTTAGCCAAAGAAAACTGTGGGTTCACTAGGTGGGTCGATCCTCGACCTATTTATCCACATGTAGAGTACATCTATTACCTGCAGGACCGTATCTTCGATCTAGAAAAAGAAGTTAGCAGCGGTTACAAGGACGACGAATAGGACGAGAACAACAATGGTGCCGATTCACATGGGGCACTCTGCATTGATCCATATTGCACCAGCCCTAACCACAAAAACAAGGGTCCTCCGTCGTCACCCCAACCACCACCACCACCAACAATCGTCGAAGAACTAACCAAAGCCGAACTTCGTCGATACCAATTTTTGGAAGAACCGATCGGTACCAACTTTCCTAGGAACCGAAGAACGAGGAACCGAGGAGGATTCGGTTCGGTAGTACCGAATACCCAGGGCTAGCCGAGACGTGTAAGCTCGGCGCCACCAACGATGGCGCCGAGCTAAGGGTCTAGATTTTGAAATCATACCTCAAGGGCATATTTGTGAAAAAAATTCAAAAAAAGGGCTAAAAAACAAAAAAGTTGGTCAGCTCGGTTACAATATTTTCATCTACACATCACTATGCTTCACACGAAATGGTTCGCTATTCTAAAAGAAAGAAAAGAGATCGTCACAGAGGATCGATCAGCTAGAGCATAGAACTGCCAGACATATCCTCCACAGCACCAGCAAAATGGAGAAAGAAATCACTATCAACAGATAGGCCTAACTGTGTGGCCATACCATTTGACGCTGAACTAACATATGCTCTCTGCTCCCAGAGGTTGAGCCTTTCTTTGGCCTCCATGCCGATATAGAGTAGAGACGTGTGGAACTCCATCCCAACAAAAGGCTATCACTTTCAACCTGGTACTGACATCCATTCAACCCGAAGCTCAGGAGCTTCAGTTCACACTCCCTAATGGCATCGAAGCTGAGCGGAACATGGTGAAACCCTGATGCATCCATGTACATTTCCCACTGGCTCAGCCTCTCATGCCGCTCGTGCCGATTGACTCCTTCACACAGTAATATGTTCTTGATCTCTTCCCCCAAGATCATCCTTTCTACCTGCGTCCGCTCATTGGCCCATTGCGAGTTGGCAGCAGCCATTGCATTGAAGCTGTCAAAGAGGGCTGCATAATAGTAAAGTGCCTCAACAAACCGGTCAGAGAACAAGGCGTTGTGGTTTGCATCTTGCTCCATCACCAGCATGATGTTTGGTTTGAGCGTATGGATGGCATTGAGGAAGCTTGCCAACAAAAGAGGGGACGGTGTTCGTGGATAGTTCAGTATGGAGGCTGGGCTGTACACTGAGCTAACCATCTGCTTAAGCTGCGCAGCATTTGCCATTTTCTGGAGCTGATCAATAGCAGTACAGCTGATATTGTCATCAACCACGAGCAGGCGATGCATCTGTAGAGAACAGCTGATCGCAATCGCCTCACCATATTTTATCCCTAGGACATCACGGAGGTTACTGAAGTCCAAGGTCTCAAGCCTGCCATTTACATCATTAAACTGGAATGGGATTTTGAGCATATCAGCTTCCTTAGATAGCAATGCCTTCATGTTGGCCAGAAAGTCATTGTCATCATGGACAACTGTAAGGCGTACTTCAGGTGGCCCCCCTGGGCGCCCATGGAAGCCATGAAGGAGCTTGAGCCACTGACGTGGGTGGGAGGCTGAGCAGGACAAGTCGATAATGCGGACAACCTGAAATACAATTGTCATCAGAAGCTCATAGGTATGTATGTAGTCTTGATAAAAACTACTTTATCATCAAGTACTACTCGCTAGCCACAAATAAAATTTGAATCGTGGGTGGCGGTGACATGTAACTTTTTAGAAAATCTATAAAGTTATTTGAACATGTGATATAACTATACACCATAATTTGGATACATAGATAGAGTCAAGAAAGATGCTAGTATAATGGTAATTCAAATATCTTTAATAAATCATTGGGACATAGCACGGCATCTGGTACTCTAAAAGGACTAAAACGAAATCTCAGGCCAAATTAATTGTAGTGTAGTGGTCTTTCTGTAGATATTGAAACTTCAATTTCTTCATATATTAGCATATCAAAGTTTCAAGAGTTTATGGAAACTGCATCAAAGTGGGTTTTGACTATGATGTATTGGAGAAAAAGATATATCTTTTGATAAAGTGTTGATATTAGATCAGCTTTATGAGAAAGCAAGCAAGAAAGAGTTTTGACACTGAAGCAGGACACTAGCAATTTGGCTTTCATGAGAAAGAAAAAAGTTAGAGATGAAAGTTCAGGGAAAAAACATACAAGTTTTTACTTAAATTTTAGCACAAAATAGAGCAATACAAGCTAAGATAGAGAAAAGACTGTATAGCAAGGATATTTGCATTGGCAAGAATATCCAAAGTACATGACCTTTTCAACCTCCATTGCTTCAAGGATGGCCTGGTTGATAGTAGCAAAGCCAGTTTTGAGGTAGGGACTGAGGCTAGCAAAGTTATAACGAGCAGACTGAATGCTCGACTGCTCAAAGTAGTCAGATGGATGAATGAGGGAACCAGTAAGGCCCTCACAAGACAAGAGAAGACGGCGAGCAAGGCTGTCAGCCATAATCTGGGACAGACGCTGCAGCGGCCCATCAACTATGGAGGAGAGCCTTTTTATCTCACTAAGACTATCATTAGTCTTTCCGATGGATCCCTCGCTTACATGTGTTGCACACTGATACAGAGCCGGGACAAGCCGCACCTGATCCTGCACAGAAGGCATACACGCCATTCTCTGATATCCTGAGGCTCGCTCGGTATACTCACGCACGTAGTAACTAGTGTTCCGGTGTTAGCTGGAGTAACTTCTCTAGTTGAGGGGCTGCTGCATTTATAGAACTGCATTTTACACCATGGATGGACAGATAAGAACAAGATAACTAGCTTTAACTTTACACACCAGGACAATGCGACGCTTAGAATGATTCATGGTAAACACAAAGTCTCACAGGTTGAGTGGTCCGCATTGAACCGAATACTATGGGAATGTTCAGTGTGTTCCCTTTGGAGTTGTCCCCTTGGATTATTCATATTCATATTTACTAGGTAGGAAGTGACAAACGTTGGGGTCAATGTCATTATGCAATGCAATGCATTGGGCCAAAGGGCCTCTAGTCCAACTGGTTAGAGCGTCCCGGTGGCATTCCTCAGGTTCTGGGTTCGACTCCCCGTGGGAGCTAATTTCAGGCTGGGGTAAAAAAATCCCCTCGTCTGTCCCATGCCAAGGCATAGGTCTAAGGACCGGCCCGTTCTCACAGGGCAACGGTGCCGCTGTGTAAGGGTGGGGCAGGGATTCGGGGGTTTTCGGGCCACGTGAGAAGGTCTTCTTCTTAATGCAATGCCTGGGGGTGGTCATACCCTCGCAGGTCCAGTTTTTTTTATGCAATGCATTGGAACTCGAAGAACAATTGGCAGGGAATACGCTGACCTGACCAGCGTTGGGGTTTTGGCCAAGTGGCTGGCATAATTAAAACAAGCAACCAATCTATGTAAGTATGTACGTAACCAAGTAAAGCGTGTAGGTCTTTGGTTTGGCACTTCGGCTAATTTGATATATACAAACACAATTGCAGGCCCATTTGATATAAAAAAAATCAAAATTTGACATCGTGCTCAACTGAATACATGGGTAGGAGCCATGGATAGGAATGAACGAGAATTTGACAGATCGCAAAGTCGCTAGACTGATAAATTGCTGCATTTTCACATCACTTTGCCCTGCGGGCTCAAAACAAGAAGGCCTCTACGACTACGAGGGAAGAGAGCTTATTTACCACGATAAGCCGCGACCTGGAAGCTCCGACGAGGCGGGGGATGGCCAGGTGTCCAGGTCACGGTCAGGGACGGCGGCCACTGGTGCGCGCGGTGGTGGACCGGCGCAGGTGATGGCCGCGCGAGGGGAAACTGGATCAGAGGCCAGACGCCGGCGCTCGCCCACCTGACCGACCCTCGTATGGACTGGAAGCATTGGCTGGGCGGTGGAGACTGCGCCTTCCGCCCTTCCAGCACGCCGCCGGCCGGGGGCGGTCGCCGGACGAAGCACGGAGGCGCAGGGGGAACTGGACTGGAGGCGGAGCAGAGTTGGATGAGGGGCCTCTCTCTGCTGGGCTGAAACGGATTTAGTTTTGGGCTGCAGCCTGTGAGTGAACAAGGTTGTTTGTAGAGGCTGTAGGCCGGAGACCAGTGGGCTTGGTGGGCCTGAAGGTGGGCTGTTAGCAACGGCCTAGTAGTGGTGGCGCATAAATCAAATTCACTGAAGACTCCACAGTAAATATATGGATTTTAATTTTTTCTAGATGGTAAATAAGACGTGTAAGCCAGTAGATGCTAAATACGATACGACATATAACACCGATTTTTTTTAGTTTTTTCTAGAAAAAAGATATTAACGTTTGGTTAAAGATGTCTGGAACATGAGTGACCCAACTAGTACGGTAAATTGAATTAAGGACCCATAGTCTGGAGAGATACCTAGGTGAGACTATCAAGCAGTTTGAGAACCGTTGTTCCGGTTCTTAATTATGTATCTGAGTTAACTAGGAATAATTAGACGTGGACAGATTATATGTATTTTGTCGAATCGATCGATGCTTTTAATATAAAGATACATCCCTCTTGGTTTTTTCGTATCCATATCCACTCAAGCAAGAGACTTGGGCGTGTTTGGTTTCAGACTGGCCAAACTTGCCTGGAGCGCGCGTCAGTCCCAGGTGACCGATTTCCCATGCCTAGGGACAGGATGAGCTGCCTGGCAGGCATCTGCCTACGAGGGCTCAATCCAAACAAGCCCTTGGTTATCCTCCATGGACTATGGAGATAAGACTAGGTTAGGATTGCCTTTTTTAGCTTTTGTGCAAGAAATATCCATACAGATGAGAGATGACCATGCGTCTTGCCTGACGAACTTCCAAGATTTTTTTAGGGGGGGATTATTATGAACTTTGAAAATATGATTCTAATGGTAGAGACGGTAACAGAGAATTCTCCCATCGGAAAATGGCTTGCTATCCACATATTCCCATGAAGAGGGAAAATCATTAGCTATCCCCGCCAAAGCTCGTAAGGGAGAATTTTGCTACAACTTTTGGACTTTTGGCTCAAAAGCTGGCTTCCTGCCTTTTGACTCTTAACTTTTGGTTGTTGACTTTTTGCTATTGACTTTTATAATATTTTTTAAGCTTACCAGCACACCAAAAGCAAAAAAAAAGGTTTATCTTAGCATTATTTTCAGTAGTTCATTTACTCAGAAACCAACCTTCTATTTTTTTAAAAGCCAGCTCAACAACTGGGCTGTTTGTTTCAAAATCTGAAACAGACAGGTAATCCCCATTGGTCCCTACGTGAGAATTAATCCCCGTTTAGGTTCTCTAGCCATGTATTGGACATCAAAGGAAATAGGTAGATAACATCAATCCAAAATGAACTTAAAAGCAAGCGACAATTTTTTTTTGCATAAGTACACGACTAGTGAATAGCATGCACATTTACAATCCAACACTATTTATTCTAGTACAAATAATACACACCACAACAAAGACACCACAAGTTTTACATGTATATATGGAAAACAAGGTGAGGATACAGGGACAGGGACGTGCCATCTACCAGTAGCGCAGTAGTAATAACAAGAAGGAAAAGAAAATGTTCTCCTAAACAAGAAGGATATTTTCTATTTTTCAGTAAGTATGATTCATTCCATTCGTAAAAAGTATTGTTATTATGCTAATAGAATGAAGCCATTTTATGATTCTTAAAACGTTCTTTTGATACTTTTAGTTACTTTCTGTTGTTCCATGTAATAATTTGATCCGTGAATTTGCATGTAATATTGTAAGTTGGTACCATCCGTGAATTTTTTTTGTTCCATGTAATAATTTGATCCGTAGGTGTATATTCAACATTCTAACTAATTAATTTGTATTAATAATAATACTTTACTTTCCGTTGTTTATGATACTGGTTCCATACCCTCACTGTTTTCTTCCAAGCTTCTTAACATTCTGTTCCATGACTTTGCATGATTATATATATATATATATATATACATATATATTTTTTCCTCACGTACAAATTCGTGTTCCAATTGAATAATATTGGTTAAGTAGGCCAGGGGAACAAACTTTTATTTTATGATGTGTTCCATGTATACAAAAACAACTTTTGTTCCAACCTCAACAAACTTTTGTTGGGATTGAACAATTCTCATCGAGTACAGTGGTGAGGGGAAAAGGTGTAGTAGTGAGATACCGTATCATCTTGATGACACTGACCCGACCATCACTGACCCCTGTCACCACCCACTCTCCATCACTGACTAGTACTACCGTATCATCTTGATGACACTGAAGTTACCGAGAAATCAAAACAGTCAGTGAGTGTAGGAGTACAATAACACTGCAGCAGCTAACATTAATGCGGCCAGCCCCAACCTAGGTAGAGCTCCCTTCATGTTGCCGCATGAGGGCACCATCAACAATATGAGATAGTTACCCAACTTCTCCGATGGTATTAATTTTTAGCATATAGTTTTTAATATAAATAGCCCCACATGACAACCATAACCTAACGTGATTTTGGAATGTGTACGTGAGACTAACTCTTGATTAACATCTTATTCGTTTTGGCTTATTCGCTCGTATCTGGCTTATAATCCACGGTTTAAACAGTGTTTTTCTCTCACACCAAACCAGCCAGCGGTACTTTCAGCCATGGCTTATAAACCAATTCAGCCGAAACGATCAGGCTGTAAGAGATAGGTTTTCCTCTATCTCTTCTATTAAAATATGAAATAATATACTCAGAGCTAGCGTAAGTCAATGTTGGAGGTGTTCTAAGTATATTTACATAGGCTAATGCTACATATATTGCTCCCAAACTCTATATCTCTCTCTAGTCCTCCCTCCATCATCTTAAAATAAATCTTCTTCTAGAATCACACCTTATGTCAAATTATATCGAGTTTGACTAACTTATATAGTGTGAAGAATGATAACATTTATACGCTACTACAGAATTGATTTTCAGCGAGTGACAATAGTTTAATGTCATAAATATTAGGATTAAGTCCACTTTTGGTCCCTCAACTGTCATGTTTGTCTAATTTTGACCCTCAACTATAAAACTGTCTGGTCCAGGAACCTTAAGTTTAAGAACCGTTCACTCTTGGCACCTAGACACGGTTGTGGCTGTTTCATGCCGACGTGTACCTGGTTTTGACCCACCACGCTGTCATTGACCGCCACGTAGGACATTGGCGTGATTAAAAAAAAGGGGCCAGCCCACTCGACTCGCTCTCTCCCTCTCAATTCCTCTCCCCCAAACCCTAGACGATGCGCCGCCGCCGATGGTGCCTCCATCACCGTAGCTGCTACCGCATCCTCTCCTCCAGTGCCTCCACGTCCGCAGTCTCCCCTCCGCCTGGGAGTCCTCCGCCGCCGCCTTCGCAGTCGTTGAAATGGTGTTCTCAAGCGGATCCAGCAGGTGTTTTGGAAGCCAATCTTCTTGGGGTCGCCATGGCAATTCGTCCTCACCAATCCCTTATCGTGAAGGCCCACTAGAGTAATGCGGTGCAAAAGTTGCTAGGTTCATATCTTGGAGCCCACTCGGGGTGCTTGGTGGCGGCATTGGGTGGCTCGGGCTCGCCGGCGGGAGAACGCTTCGGCGCTCGATGGCCCAAGATGAGGCGTCGGAGAGGTCGACGGGGCGGAGGAGGTGCTGGTAGCCCAAGGAATC